CCTTCCCTATAAATGTCGGTGGCCTTCCCTATAAGGCGCTCCCTTTGGCTTTTCCAGATGTGGCTTTGGCGCAGCCTAGATTTGAAATGGATTTAGGTGGCATTGTTCACCACTTGGTGCCCAGGAGATAGTCAGTGCTCTGAAGGGCAAAATATTTTTATTAAGTAAAGTATACTTAATATACTTTACTGGCAGCTGCTGGTTGTGGAAATCTTCACCCACAGAGCTGATACTTGGTAAAAGCTCATTTGTCAGCTGTGTGTCATCTTAGGTGAATCTTTCTCAGCTTTGCACATCTGGATCTGACAATATTTGGTGAACAGCAGCTTCCAAGTCTTGCTACAGATTCTCAAATCAGACGGATGCCTAGTTGGGTCAACCCACCAGTTAGAGGCAGTGTGGTATAGTGCTTAAGGGTGTGGGACTGGGACTCAGGAGATCCAGTGTACTAGTCCCCACATAGCTATGGATCTAACTGGGTGACGTTCAGCCAGTCGCCAAGTCCCAGCCCACCCTACATCACAGGGTTGTGGTTGTGAGGACAAGATTGAGAGGAGGAAGAGAATGATGTAAGCTACCTCAAGTTCCTTGGAAGGAAGGAAGGAAGGAAGGAAGGAAGGAAGGATATAAATACAATAAATTAATAAATAAAACTCACCTAGGAGGAAAGCATACAATAGCTGAGCTTGTTTACCTTAAAAAAAAAAGGTAAGAAAGGGGAAACAGGATAGAGCTGTGCAATTATGCAAGGTGCACTTGCTGGGCCTTCTCCAATAATCCTGGAAACCAGTGGGCTCATCCAGCAAAGGTGATTGGTGGGGGATTCAAGACAGCTGAAAGGAAGGACTTACCTGCAGATTGTAGTTAAATTATGGAGTCCACTGGCATGTGATTCAGAGATGGACATCCTTCTGCATAGCTTTAAAAAGGGATTAGACACAATTGTGGAGGGGAAGGTCATCAATGGTTCCGGGCTCTGATGGCTATACATATCTGGTATCGAAGAGAGTATGCCTGGGTCCATTGATCTCTGGGGGGCGTGGGCAGGAAGGTGCTATTGCACCCATATCCTGTGTGTGAGTTTCCCATGGGCAGCTTGTCGGCTGCTGTGTGAGTCACAGACTGGGCTGGGTGTGCCCTTCGTCTGATCCAGCGAGCCTTTCAACCCTGCTTGATGGTTTGGAGAAGGGCTGCAGCACCATGATGGAGTGTTGACTTCTCATGTGTAAGGGCCATGAAAAAGTCATTTGGGGTTACAATAAAGTGTGGATATTAGCCCATGGGGCCTTCTGGAATAAAGATGACTTTTATTGATAAGACTTCTCAACACTGTGGTTCAGAGATCTTTGACCTGAAGCTGCCTCTAGTCTATTTATTATTTATTTATTTTTCGATTTATATCCTGCCTTTTTCCTACAAAGGGCTCAAGGCAGCTTACATCATGCTCCTCCTCCATCTTATCCCCACAACAACCACCCTGTGAGGTAGGTTGGGTTGAGAGTCTGTGACTGGCCCAAAGTCACCCATTGGGCTCTGTGGCCGCGAGGGGACTCGAACCCAGATTGTCTGAGTCCGAGTCCCGTGCTCTTAACCACTACACCACACTGGCTCTCAGTGTCTAGCTAACGTTGTTTCCACTGGACAGAATGTTGACCCTTGGGTCACCCGCAGTATTTGCAATGGCACACATACTTCACGCCCCGTCCTCTTCTGGAGAAGTACGCATGGTTCCCATTTGAAATTTTAAAAATGCTTTTTGCGACATTCTTTGCTTTTCAGAAGAAGAGAACGATGCGAGATGTCTATCAAGTATTATGTCCTGTGGGAGGGAAAGGAAAGTAACAGAACAGACTAATAAATAAGCAGGGTGTTGAAAGTGGTATTCTGTGAGCCGAGCTCTTGTGCAACTGAATTTCAATCCGCTTACCATCTTCCCCTGGTTGGGTGCCAAAACCTGCGATAATGTTGTACTAAAGCTGGGTTAATTAAAGTGTAATTAGAAGGGAATAAATCGAGCAATCATAAAAAAATGGTTTGTCATGGGAAAAATATTTGTCTAGGATTAATTAGTCTCCAAATGAAGTGTAGCTTTAGATTGCTGAAAATTATGCAGTCCTTAATTGCAGCTTTGGCCCGATTAATTTCAGATATTGTAACAACTTGATATAGTACTGCTTCTGCTGTTTTCTCCCTTTTTATTAAAAGGGGGAGAGGATGAGAAAACCTCTCCAAGGAGATGATTTCAGGAAACGTCTCCTAAAATGTCTGGAAGGTGTTTAATTAAACCTGTGCTATCTAAGGATGTTTTTAACTCCATCTTGCTGTTGGGTACACAAAGTTTGTACCTGATGTTGCTGCACCCATAATTAAGGGGGCCGGGCTGACTGATCTCTGGCTGACAGATGACTCTGCACGGCTGAACGGGAAAGGCTGACAACCCCCACTTCTTTTCCGTGGTCCCGGGCTTACCAATTTTCTGCTAGAGTTCCGTGATTTATCAAGTGTGCAGACCCAAATTGACTTATGAGCCTGACCATTGTGAGGTGGATCCACACACGGCCCTTCTCCACTTTACGCTTGTGCAGTTTTGCATTCTTTGATTTTTCAAGGAGATTGGGCGTTCTCCTGTGAACGCCTGCTAGGGCACATCCACACGGTTCTCATTTGAGGGGTCAAAGGTACTTATTTGGGTCAACCCAAGCCGTGCCATATACTGGCAGTCTGAACCCTTGCAGTTTCTGCATATACAGTGAGTGGGATGGCACGTTTTCTTAGCCATATTTATTTTCTGCATTTCGCTCCAGAACGATCGCTAAAGCTGCAGGGAGAGGGCAATGGTAAAATATGCTTTAGAATAACAAAACCTCTTTCGCAAAAAATCAAAAGTGGCAGATGTAACAGCAGGCATAAGAAGACAGAGGCTAATTTTGGAGGGGAAAGCCATAAGCTTAAAAACAACAAACTGTGTGGTGCTATATATGGGGAGGGGGGGTGCAGAACTCCCTGTCTATGGGCCAGAACTGACCTCTGGCCTGCAGAAGCTCCCAGGGATGCTCTGGGTTAGCCACCAAGCCCTGCCCCTGAGAGGAATCCCTTCAGAGGGCCGTCCCTGTTATCTCCTACCTCAGAGAATTCCATAAATGAAATTAAAAGCTAAGAAGACCCCTGATGGATGGGACCACAGGCCGGCCTGCCTGCCTGAGTCTATTTATTTAACTTCTGTACCCCCAACAGCCACAGCTCACTCTGTCTAGTCCTACGTTCTGTTCACGCACTGGCTAACCAGCTGCCTATTGGAAGCCCACAGGCAGGATGCGAGCATGTCAGCACCTTCTGGCCATGTTCCCCATAAGGCCTCTCCTCTGATTCTGGAGGAAAAGTGTAACCCTCATGACTATGACCCATTGATTACCACCTCCTCCATGAATGTGTTGACTCTCCTTTGCAAGCCACCCATGTTGGCGGCTCTCGTTACATCTTGCGGTAGCAAATTCCACAGCTGAACTCTCTGCTGCGTGAGGAAGAGCCCTCCTTCCTTCCATCTGCCCTGAACATCACATCACTCATCTTAGGATGGCCCCATTGGGTTCTGGGATTATGAGATGAAAGTGGGAGAAAACCTTCCCCCAATCCATTTTCTCCACACCACGCATAACTTTATACACTTCGATCATGCATCCTCCATACCAAGAGGCTCCTCCATTCTTAGCTAAAGAGCCCCAAATGTTGTAGCCTTTCCTAACCCCCCCCCCAATTATTTGGGTTGCCCTTTTCTGCCATGCCGTCCCTTGTCAGCTGCATTTGTTGGGTGGCACACGGCCCTAGTATGAGAGAGAGACGAGGAGCCTTCTGCTGCACGAGTGGAGCATGTTTGAGCTGCTTGGCTGGACCATTTCCCAGCTGGGACCTGCCTGGTTGGGCTTTCTGTGCATTATGTTCGTAGTGCGATTAACCTTGGGAAAGGAGAACAAGCCATGCCAACAAGCCCTATTCCTTTGGAATTAAATTATTATGGGGTTTGTTTAGGCTTTCTTCAGTTTCATCGCTGCATTTTATCGGAGGATTTATAGCTTTATAAATTAGAACAGCTGCATTTCTATTCACCTCTCCCCCCCCCAAAAAAAAATCATCAACAAAGTTGAACTTATGTATGAAAAATCAGGCCTGCCCAGCTTCACCTGTTTTCATGCTGCATTTTGATACGTATTTCAAACCGGGGACCAAGTAAAGGATTCAGTGCCTCTGTTTTTGGATAGAAACATCCTTCTGTGCTATCGGGCTGCCTTCAGCGCTTTTTCTAAGGAGTTTTTCAGTGCACAGAATGTTTTAACTTTGTCTGGAAAGGTCAGCCGGCTGATAGCTGAAGGCAAATGTGTCAGGAGTGAAAGACTGAAAAAAAATTATCAGTGTGACACACCGGGAGCATTAGAATGATGAATGCTTATGTTAATATATGGGATGTCCATATTGATGAATAGCTTTTTTTTTCTTCCAGTGACTAAAATATATAAATGGCAACGAGATCCATATGCTAGCTTGGTATCCTAAAAATAATCACCATCACTCCTGGTTTTGCTCCTTTGCTGAATGTGTTTTCATACGGAAAATACTTACAGTGAACTTCCACAGCACACAGATGGGAGCATTTGGAAATGATCTTCCAGGGCCCAGCTCAGATTCCAGCTTTTCCAAAAGTCACATTTGATACAGCATGATCTTACGGGGCACAATTTACTCTGTGCAAAATACTCCGAATTTTAGAGGGGGTTGGCTGTTGGTGGTGAGTGTGCATGGGAGAGAGGTGGCTGATAATAACTTGAAATAGTTTGTTTGCTTCTGTCAGATTTCTTAGGTTAATTCATACAAACTTCCCAGCTGTCGAGCATTTTGTGGGCCTGTACATGATCTTTCAGTGACATTGGTTCCTTTCCTCTTTCCCTTTGTTTTTCTGTTTTTTCGTTTTCCCCCTTCTTTTCTTTCATTCCTTTTTCTGGATCCAGAGACAATAAGCACACTTTCAAGTAAAGATGCTTTGTGAGCAGATGCTAGAGAAGCAATTATAATGGCCAGGTAGGTACATTTACACTGCTGCCATCGGGCGTCTTGGACAGAACATAGAAGCTAGATCTGTATTGCGGTTCTAATATTCCTGAACCTTATGTAGGCTTTTTTAAAGCATGTGTCATAATTGCACTTGCTAAACTAGACCAAGCTAATGTTTTCCACAAAACTAACTGGGGAAGAATCTTGAGTGATAGTTGCCTTTGCTTCTTGGACATTCCCATGCCAGGCCAGTATGGTAGAAAGCAGCACTTTCTGCTTAAGTTGGTTAAGGCGCTGCTCAGGGCCGCCTAATTCAAGCCCAGTATTTGGGTAACAGCTGAAGTATGGCCGACAGAGAGTGGGTTACCTTTCCAAGTCTGAGCTGACATTCAGATTATACCCAAGGCTATCAAAAATAAAATTAATTAACAGGTTTCTCATAGGAATCTAAATATCATGAACACAGTTGAACAACAAACCCAGGCCTCAGTGGAGAGGAATGAAGAAAAAAATGGCTACAGAAAAAAGGCCCAGAAATGAGGGAAGCGTGGCCATTCCACACCGGAATGGTCTTCCATCTTTTCCCACAATGCAGTTCCTCTGCTAGCTTGTCAGTTTCATCGTGTGTTTCCAGGTTCTGGCTGTGACATCCTGATTAGGCAAATGATGGTTATTCCTAACCTCTGAACCACCTTGGCATGGAATAGCTTGGCGAACCATGGCTTCGGAAGCTATCGTTGTCAGTGTCAACCAGGTTTGCTCTGTTTGGCTCAGGCTATGTGTAGACAGATTTAAGCGTATCTCTTTTACTCTGGTCTTAAATGCAGACAAGATAAATGGTATGCATATGTGTTTAATTGCTTCCAGCCCTGAGTCTTCCCTAGTAGGTGGAGTTAATGAGGATTTAATGAGCAGAAGATCTGGTCATTAAAGTCTGTCTAGCGTCTGTCTAAAATGGCAAGTGCTGGCAGAATTTATTATTTCAGTGTGTGTGTAAAGGGAAAAAAAAGGTCCATCAAGGCAGAAGTGATGACAAAAATATAGAAAGCAAAAATTATCATATAGACTGATGATAAAAATCAACTCTCTCCTGTGTGCATTGCCTCCAAGGGCAACAAACAGTGTTGGACCCTTTTGTGAGTCTCCTGAACCAAGCACCGCTAATGTTTTAAACAAAATAACTTTTATTGCTGCATGAGTTACGTTACAAAATTACATTAATTTTGTTTGTTTTTAAGCAGTTTTAGGTGAGTTCAGCTATAACATGATGCTTGCATGTAATTGCTAGTCAGCTTTTACCTAGAAAGATGAATGATGGGGGGAAACATGGTCTGAAGCAACCAGTTTTGGCTATCCGGTCAGTGTTGGGAGGGGGACCTTCTTAGAACCTCTTTTGCAAAGCTGCTCTGAGTTCCGTGATGGAAGCAAGACAGGACATAATTATCACTTGTAAAAGCAGCTGCCATTTGTTTTTGAACTGTTCCTCCTCCTGTTCCTTCTAGTGCAGGAATGGGGCATGTACAGCAGAAATAAGCCTGCTAGACCAAGAGTCAAAATGAATAGATTCTCAGCAAAGAAAGGCATAGAACTAGGATCAGACTCCCAAGAATAGTTATCAGTACAGGAGGAAGCCGAAAAAAGTTGCGGTGTAAGAAGGAGACTTAAACCAGAGGGAGCTGTGGGGAAGATGCCCCTCTTCCTTCTCCATCCCTTTTTGCGGCAGAGATGACGGTGGGTTATATATTTTGCAAGGACGGCCGCACAGTTTAATGCAAATGCCGCACCAAACTTCTGTATAGAGGCCCAGCTGTAAGACGTGCTTTGGCAATGAAGTCGGCCACCCTATGTCCACTTACCGATGGGTTAACCCTTCTGAAATAAATGGGAACTTCTGGGTAGACACACATATGGTTGTGCTATGAAGAACCTGAAGAATGGGAGCAAGCTTGTGTGTGACACATACGCCTGCCTGCATCAGCACTTTGAAGATCAGCTAATTCTTTAATCTTGCTTTCCTTCGCAAGAATGGCACCTGGCAGGCTCGGAATTTCCAAAGAATAACAGGGATTTCATATATCGGAGCAACAGCACACCTGGATGTGTCAAATGCCTTTGCAGCCATAATTATGGTTGCACACCTGCTGGTTTGAGTCCCCCAGTTGGTTTGCCAGATGTACCTAAAGAGATTTATTTCTGGTATACCTGACAATTTTTTTTTTCCTTGGGCACCATCCCTTGACTTACTCCAAAGGTGAATAGAAATTCTTATTTTTGGACTAGGCTCTGTAATTGGGATTATCAGGGGCTGGGCTGGGCTGGGCAGGGAAGGGAAGGGAGGGAACGGTATGGTTTTACTTGTAATGTTGTTTTGGGTTCTGTGTGTGATGGAAATGCAAGTGATAGGAGTGAGAACAAGGGAATTGCTGGATTCTGCTGGATTTTTTTTCCTGTGGGAAACAATTATGTTTAAGGCTTCAGGAATCTTTTTTTTTTTGGGGGGGGGGGCAGATGTCAGAAAGATTACCTTAAATAGCCCTTTCCTTTTACCTTTTCTTTTGAAGGACTATGACGAATTAGAAAACAAAGGGTTTTTGGTAATTGATGGTGAAATAAACAACTTTGGAATTCTAAGAACACAATAAAAGATATTTGCTGGCTTGCTTGGGCCTGAGGTACTGCAAGGACCTTCATCAAGGATCAGTGTTTTGTTTTTCAAGCCCAGCTTGAAAGCAACAAAAAGATTATGTTTCTGCTATACTGTAACAAAAAAGTCCCCCCCCCCCCCCAAAGCCAAATAGGCTTTCCTATTGTATTCATAAGAGCAAGAAAGCATCTTTTCAGCGTTATATATATCGATGGCTTTGGAGCAAAGCTGCAGTTATTCCTCCCCCTCCCTGATGTGTGCCGAACATCTGAGAAGCCCAGGCTTGGGGTCCTGGTAAAGATGCATATTTGGAGCCTCAGTTTTATGCCAGCGAAATAACCCCAGATTCATGCACCCAGAGTGCCTGTCATCAGCAAAATTCTTCTGTGTCAGTAATTAGGAAAAGGAGGAGGAGGTGATGTGGAGTTGGGCAGGGGGCAGCCCTGTTAAATCAGGCCTCATAATTTTGGATTGCCTCTGGGAATTCTGCTTCATTTTGGCTTTCTCTTCAGAATTGTTCCTTCGCAGAAAAGGCAGATCCCCAGCGTGTCTCGCGGAATCCAGCTTTAGAGGCACGGTACAAAACCAGGAAGACTGTGGGCCGAGGCATATTTGTATTTACTTACATACCTATATACGTACGTCGTACGTACGTACGTACGTACGTACGTACGTGTGTGTGTGTGTGTGTGTGTGTGAGAGAGAGAGAGAGAGAGAGAGAGAGAGAGAGAGAGAGAGAGAGAGAGATTTGCAAGGTAGTGCCATTAAAGAGGGTTTTGCATGCTCAGCATGAATTTTTGCATGGCATTATTTGTAAAGATGAAGCCTATCACAGAGGGTGCCAAGGGGGACAACTGACTCAGAAGTGATGGGGGATGTAAAATGTTCCTGAAGCAGCCAGTCAGGGTAGAAGATGTCCATGTGGAGGACATGTTCGGCCAGTGGGACCTGGGCAAGCTACATGGCTTAGTGAAGCCACATAAATGCTTAAGCGTATGGTTCTACAGCTGCAGAAAACCAATAAAATCCAAAATATGCAGGCCCGAATGAAAAATTCCGTTCTAGTATGGCAATTCCATGAACAGGTATTCTTCTTCTGGGAATGTTTGCAAAGTCGTGGAATTAGAATTCTTTAATTTAGGGCACAATCTGCTGCCTTTGAAAAGGCACCAAATTATGAAAAACACCAAATTGCACCAAATCATGAAAAACAAATATATTATAATCAATCAAGACAATTTTCTTCACTGATGTGCAGCATCATGTCACCCACCAAGAAACCTGTGCAGGACTGAAATACACTGATGGAAAAGCCTTTAATTTTGTTTATTTAGTGTATACTGTTTTTTCAAGTTTTTTGCTTAGTGATTTCTGTATGTGTGAGCGCGCGCGAGAGAGAGAGACAGACAGACAGACAGACAGACCTGTGCTCTTTAAATGAGATCAAGAGGAGAGGGCAAAACCTAAAAGGGAAGGGTTTATTGTTTGTACTGTATCAAAAAGTGAAAAACGAATCCAATTAAATGGGTAAAAGCAAAACAGCAAAGAAATGAACATCAGTTGACTCCCAAAGTGGATTACAGTGATGAATGTTGGATTTGTTATCCTGTTGTGTGCAAACAGCGGGATAGCTCATAAAATTTGTTCCACAATGCAGATCATGTTGGAATTTGGAGATTCGATGCATTATAAATCCCAGGACCTCACTGTGACTGTAAAACAGAGGGGGAGAAAGGAAGCGAAACCTCTAAACTAGGATTTGGGTTGAAAATCATCTTAACTTTCCATGATGTGACACTGTGATCCCAAGCATAATTGTTTCAAATAAATCCTGGAGAAAATCGATGTGTCTTACCTAATGATAGATGAATCAGTTAGTTTCACATTCTCCTACATTCAGTTTTGGGGGGGGGGGAATCTTCTAGTTCTTTCTTCATGAAGAAGTATGTGGATTTTGTCAAGTCCTTTTCAAGTATGGATGAAAGTTTCACCCATCTGCACCAACCAAATTCAGTAGGCACAGCTCTTCTCAGCATGGTAAGGACCTTTACATGCCTTCTGCTGTGAAGAAACGGTGGCGGTTTTGTTTTGTTTTGGGTCCGGGGAAAAAGAAGTGGTAACCCTTATTAAGTGTTACTGTGGTTGAATATATAGGTGTGTGTGTGTGTGTGTGTGTGTGTGTGTGTGTGTGTGTTGCTCTCTGGGCAGTTTACGCAGTCCATAAAAACAAAGTACAGTAAAAATACCATAAAATCAGAGGGAGCAAATTTAAAACCGCTGAAAAGCAATAATAAAAATGGACAATAACAAGGAATAACAAAAGAGTAGAGAGGGAAAAAGAAAAAAGAGAGAGACTCTGCCAGACACCTGGTGATCGCCCCCTCTGCAGGCCCCTTGTTTAAACCTGCAGAAAAGAGGGCCATCTTAACCTAACACCAAAAAGATATAAATTTCGTGCCAGCCGGGACACAGCAGAGAGGTTATTCCATAAATGGGGGGCCACCACCAGGAAATGTATTCGTGTGGTTGAATGTACAGTTTTGCACCATCCCTGCACATTTACGTGAGGGGGTGTGACCCGGCGGGAGACCCAGGATCGGTCCCTGGCATCTCCATTTCGGGCTGCAGAAATTCCTTGTCTGAAATCTTGGACAGCCACGTCCAGCCTAGATCATATGACAGGCTCCTGCATTCCTCTTAATACGCTTGATCTTAGGTCCCTCCCCTGCCCTCCCCTTCCCTTCCCTGCCCTCCCCTGCCCTCCCCTCCCTTCCTGCAGGAGGAGATAGGATTTTATGAGTTCTCATAAAAGAAAAAGGAACCAAATATAATTCTCACCCATTTGAAGACTTGTATCATTTTGAACATGGTTGGATTGAGAACTTCTTTGGTTTGATAGCCTCCTTTTTTGATTATTTGGCTAGTACCGGGGGGGGGGGGGGGGAGGGGGAGAGAGAGAGAGAATGAGAGAGAGAGAGAGATCATTGGCCTTCACTTTTTAAAATGTCTGCATCTCTCATGGCATGAAAAGCGAACTCCAACTTCTTGGGCAGATCCATAGTGGTTCGTGTCCATTGTGATGGCGTCTCGACTCTTGAGCAAAATGGTAGCAAGGCCACCGAAATAAAAGGCACAATGCTGGAGGACAACCACGCATTTTATTTGGAAAAATCTTTAAGAATGTTCAATAAATATAACTGTAAACACTTAGGGAAACCATTCCAGATCAAATCGTGGCATACGAAGACATCTGGAAAAAAGCTGTGCTTTGAGGACATATTGAAATATTTTTGAACAAGGGGATCGATTTGTGACCTAACGGTTCTCTTAATGACCTAGTTGACGGATGTTTTAAATGTGTGGCAGTTCATGCGCTAGAGCAGTGGAGGGTACCACATGGCTCGTGGCCCACATCTTCCCCCCACCCTCAAGTTAAAAATATTTAAAAACAAAATAATACTTGGTACTGGCTACAGACCATTAAAATGGAGAAATGTCGTTTCTGACCCTGTCAGCACTCCATAGCTGCTAAGGGGCAGTCAAGGGGTCAACTTTAGCTCGCAAACTGGCTAAATTAACCCTTTCAGCACTACCAAGTGACCCAACCTGCCACGTTTCATGTATTTATTTTTCCTACCACATTTTTATTTTTGATTTATTTTGCGATGTATATCCTGCCTCTTTCCTACAAAGGGCTCAAGGCAGCTTACATCATTCTCCTCCTCCATTGTATCCCCACAATAACAAACCTGTGCGGTAGGTTGGGCTGAGAGTCTGTGACTGGCCCAAAGTTGGCTCCGTGGCTGAGCGGGGACTCGAACCCGGACCGTCTGAGTCCCAGTCCCGTGCTCTTCACCACTACGCCACACATGGCCCCTGTGCCTTCCTTAGTTGCCCATCCCATGCTGGAACACGACTCGCTGCCTTCCAGTGGCAGGATGCCAACAGTGGGCCTCAGAAACATTACTGTAGTTCATCTGCTAGCAGTAGGTTTTGGGCCAATTCAGCTAGGACTTTTCACCAGTACCCATACATATCACGTTGTATTAAATGTATTTTGTTGGGTACATATTAACTGCATGGATGACTTCTTCTTGTACGGACCTGCCTGCACTCTTGATTCCCTGCCGGAGAACCAGCTGCATGTTGCTCCTCAGTCAGAGGTGTGGAAATGCGGGACCATTTTTTCAGGAGAGGCACAAGCTTGTGGAATTATTTCTCAAGCAAGACGGATTATTCTTTATCAGTCTCACCAGAGTTCCACGAGCGTCTTGCACACCACCCAGGGAGCCCCGAAGGGCTATGCGAGCAGTTTATCGATGCAAAAATAAATAAATAAACCCACTGAGCCTTGGTTTTTGAAGTCCCGTCTGTTGGGTTTTTTTTTTAAAGAATTAATTTTTGTTTATTATCTGATATTGTTGTGAAGAGCTTTGAAAACCAATATGTGTTTAAAAAATCCATGCTGCACATTTTCAAAGTAGGTTTAAATTACAGATTGTATAATGTTATCAATTGAAAAATAAGCAGTTCTTTACAATTACCTAAAAAGTTGCTGGGAAAGGCAGGTAAAAGCCCAAGCCCATCAGCCCTTAATTCACAGGACTGTTTGGAGCTTACCTAAGACCATGAAAGTCAGTAGCTGCTTATTTCTCCATCCAGAGACCAAGAACTTTGTGTGATTTGTGCTTCCTTGTGACCATGTTTTTCCTTCTAGGAGTTTCAAATCCACGATGGCCCTCCCTCCTCCAGATCCACAGTACATTCTACGGGGAGCAAATGATGCAGTCAATACATTGTGCTTTCACTGCAGAGATCCAGAGCCGGAATTCCCCATGCTTTTCTCCGGGTGAGTTTGAGAAGGACGGTAAGGCATTTCAGGCACTTAAAGAGTGTATATGCTGCTGTGTGAACCAATCTAGGAAAGTGTGCAATCAGTTTGTATCCTGTACCGGTCAGACTTAAGCCCCATTAATTTCATTGGTCTGTCCTAAATAGGGCTGTCATTAGAATCAACCCATAGAGCATTTTCTAGTTAGGTTTCAAAGTTTTATTGTTTTCTACTCACTAAACAAATAATTATTCCAAAGACTTCAAACATACTGTCTTATTTCTCTCTACAAATGCTATGTATTTCAGCCCAAAATAGAGTTCCGATTCTGTAGCCATTGATAGAAAAAGTCCCATGTTTGGTAGTAAACTGTATCTTCTTTTTCCTGAAGAGATCAAGTCAGTCTATCCATTTCTGCACAGTCCAAGATCTTGTTCGAGATCAAATCTTCAGCCAGTAGCTCTTCATTTCTCCAACATTGCGCATGTGCAATCCTTGCCACTGTTATTACGTGCAAAGTCAAGTGTATCTGAGCTCGCTGGCCATAGAGTATTTTCTACTGAGAACGCCAGCTATGATTAGCTGCTCTTTAACAATCTTTGTAGATGAGATCAGAATAATACGAAATGCAGGGCCTGCAGCAGAACGCTGCCATGTGGAATGGTCGCGTTCGAAGTCTTGGTTACCTACAACGACCCCGTAAGGTAGGTTAGGGTGTGAGGAAGTGACCAGCCGACATTCACCCAATGAGCTTCATGACGCAGTGGTGACTTGAACCTGCTTTCCCAAGTCCCACTCCAATGCTCTAACAAGGATAGCACGTTGATGCAATGAAATATATCTGGAAATATAAAATAACTCACATAGCTAATATAGATTTAGGGCTGCAGACTTGAACTTGGAGGTGTGATTAAGGTTCAGAAACTGCAAGCAGAGATGGGGACTCCTTTCATTTGGCTACTCTTTCGCTGCCGTGTTTGCCCACTCATTACTAAGTTTGATTTATTGCATTATTTTAACCCCTGCTACACACTTTTTAAAGCCCTGAACCATCTGGGGGCAGAATGCCCAAGAAGCCCCATCCCTCACACAGATCTGCCCCTTCTCTCACATAAACGTTGGCAGTCTCGCTCCATGGTTCCCCAGGTAAGAGGTGGGTAGGGTCTTCTCTAAGACTGAGGGGCTCACTAAAGAGGTCCATTTCATTCCACCCCGGCTGCCTCGTGGGAGCTAAGCAAGGGTGTTGCTTTTCTGTGGTCCCCTAAGATTCTCAGAAGAAGCTGGTAACATCCAAGGGCAGTTAAAAGAAAACAGGAGTGTGGAGACCTCCAAGTGGGTTCTAGAATTTTCAACTATTGCAGTAGGAGGATGTTGTCTCAGCAGGGTGTCAAAGCCACCTGAGGCCTTAAGTTGGTTGACGAGACCTAGAGCACGGCCAGCTCTGAACTTGGAGGAAGCAAATGAAATATTAAGGGTTCATCCACTGATTTTGTAGCTAGAGGCTTCTGTGAGGCTGGGGAGATGGCAGCTCTGTCTGAAATGTATCCTCTGAGGCACAGGTTGATGGCAAGGCATTTCCTCTGGCCAGGAGTATCCTGAATACGGGTCTGCTCAGTCCCGAGGAAGCATTCTGTGCTTCATTCTACTCAGAATCCTCTGCTGCACACTAGCCATCACCTCTCAATTTGCAAAATGTTTCTTGATGCCAAGAACTTCCATGTCAGCCTAGCAGGACATCTGCTGGATTTTGTTATTTCATTGGCTGCTGTTGGTCGTTCTCTTGATCCTTGTGTATCATTTGAGACTGTGGATTTAGGAATATTGTTGCCTTGTGCATTTGCAAATCAAAAGATAGGGTAATGGTAATGCATATATGCTCTTCCAAGTTCTTTGACAACCAGAAGAAAGCAAGGCACATGAATGCAGATATTCATTTTCACAAAGATTTTTTAGGGGAGAGCAGTCATTTGGATTTTCATGGAATAAATCACAAAGTTGTCACACTTGAACCCCCAGTACATGAAGCAATGGCCATTTGTTTTCCTCTCCACTCTCCTCTCCCACACTTTTTTATTTAGATCTGCTAATGGGCTGATCCATATCTGGAATTTGAAGACACGCAGAGTAGATAGAACGTTGGATGGACATGGTGGAAAATCAGTCTACTGGGTGAAAACGTTCCCCAACAGAAGAGAGGCAATTCTTAGGTGAGTGATGCAAACATAATTGGTATTTTATTGGATTTATAATAGATTTGTAAGGGACTTCCCACTGAAATTCTGGAAATCCAGGTACTTCTGGCATACAGACTTCAGACAAGACTGCTGTTGGCATAAAGTTGAACCTCTGTAACCGCAAGGATTAAACTCCATTTGAGAGGGGTTCTTGTGACCCATATTCCAGCCTGCCAGTCAAAGTAGGCAATACTGGACTAGATCAGAGGTAATATGCAGCCCATAAACACCCCCACCCCCACCCACACACATACATTTGCGATGTGCTTTTCAAGTGTTTTTTTAAACTAAAGAAAAAATGGTATTTGTAACACTACAAAATGTTAAGAAAATCAAATGTAACTTGCAAATCTAAATCCATTCTGTTTATGTTTCATGATTTGTCAGGTGGCTTGCATTCCGTTAACCTCTCACTGATGTGTACAGGTGCTTGTACACTTTTGCACAAATTTGCATTCCCAAAAATACAGGACTTCCCCCTGACTATGCGAATGCATGAAAAAAAATCATGCTTTAGTCTATCAGAGAAATGTGCAATTCTGGCCTATTTTATGTATTATTTCTATGACTTGTATAAAATTTACGAGGGCTCTGCGAGTCTGTGGAGTCTGTGCAACTTGGAAAAAGCCACTCTGCAGCAGAATCCTAGAAATTCAAACTCGCCTGAGCCGGTTGGAGATTTCTTCAGCATCCTTTCCTGCAAACAAGCCAAACCTGACACCTCAGATGCTCTGTGGTGCTCTAGATGTCATTTCTGCCTAAGATGGTATATTATTGTTGCTGTTATTGCTGCTGTTTGGGGACAACCTGTGGACTGCTGTCCATGGGAGATTCTGGGTTGCAGAAATGGCAAAGTCGCCCATCCCTGCGATAGATGGACCTATGGACCGTAACTTAGAATGAGGCAACATGTTGTTGTTCGAGGAAACATTGCAAAACTACTTCTACCTCATGCATTTCAAGGCCTCCCCGTTTGCAGTGTGTGTGTATGAGAGAGAGAGAGAGAGAGAGGGATGCAAGCTCCCCCTGTCCCCGTGCACGCAGACCCCCTCAGCATCCCCACACACATCCAGACTTGCGGCCATTTGTACCAAGTTTAACGTCTCGTGCAGAAGCCCATGTGGGCGCTGGTCGGGTCCAGGAAACCTCCTGCCACAGTGTTTGCCTTCCGGGTATCTCAGGACTCCTGGTTGTTTTGACAGACAAAACACCCTGCCTTCTGCAGGAGCGGATTGCCAAAGCGGTGGTAGGACTTGGGGATGTTTTGACATGTTTATCACGAAAAGACATCTTCTGTAGCCAACCTGATTAGCATTGATATTTGTTGTCGTCTGCATAACCACAATTCACACCCAAAAGACTAGAGCTAAATTTGAGTTGTTAACTTAATTACAGGGTTTTCACCTCACATGTACTGTGCAGTGAAGGAAGTATCATTTCAGAAACTGTTCAGGCTTCCAGTTATCTTTCTTCCTGAACTTTCTAATGCATGCTCTTTTTAGCCATGTTTCTCTTCCCAAAATATTTATTATTATTTATTATTTATTTATAAAATTAGTATGCCGTCGAATTACTTGCGTCTCTGGACGGCTTGCAACATAGATAAATTGACAATCCACTCTGGCTGCAAATTAATAAAATACAACAATAGAATTCAGCATTAAAACATATTAAAATATTGATTAAATAAAAAGGTCTTGACCTGGCACCGAAAAACATATAATATAAAATATGCATGTATGTATTTATTTGCAAAATAAGAGAGCAGGGGAAGGAGAATGTTGTGAACTGCTTTGAGTTCTTTGAAAAAGAGGGAAAAAGATTCGATATAAATATAATAAATAGTAAGTAAAATGTATCACATATTTAATTAATTACATGTACATCCTGCCTTTCTTCCTCCTGCAAGGAACCCAAGGAGGCTTCCACAGCCCTTTTCCTCTCCATTTTAATTGCACAACAGCCCTGTGAGGTAGTTTAGCTGGAGAGTCCTAGAGTGGCCCCAAGTCAAACTTTGACTAGAACCCGGATCTTCCAAGCCTCCATGCAACCTCTGTATGCTAGACTACACTGAATCTATCAGGTTGTAATTATATTATATTATATTATTTATTTTATTTATTTAGAGTTTTTGTATGCCGTCCCATCGCTTAACGCCTCGGAGCGGCTTACCTAAATAAGCAAACATGGTACAAAAAATGCAAATTATGCAAATTAAAAATGTGATTCATTCCGGCTGCAAATTAAAACCTATAGTTAATATTAAAGGTTGTTAAAATATTGTTTAAATAAAAAGGTCTTAGCCTGGTGCCGAAAAACAAATAACGACATAATAATTGAATTATATAATTATCCTGTTTCTGATTCTATGTATATATATAGTCAAACAGTATGCCCAACAGGCAGATGTATAAAGGTAATAAATAAACAAAGTGGTATAAAACAGCCTATTGACTGAGTTGAGACTTTAGGGTAGCCTTCCATAGCCTGGGACCCTCTAGTCATATTGGACTACAACTACCATCATCCTCTGCCAGCATGCTGGTGATGTCCAGGTTTGCAGTCCTGTGCATCTGGGGAGGGCTGTGTTAGGGAATCAGTTCCTATAGGCGTGCTGGCCTCTTTTTTCACTCTTCTGGGCCCTTCCTGACCACCCCAATGTGGGGATCCTACGGAAAACAGGAAAGCATGATTTGGATGCTGGAGGAGGAGGAAGATTCACTGTCATTCAATCCCACCATGCATTTGTAGCTATCCCATGAGGCTGATGAGTGGGAGATTTGGGACACGTAAAATGATGCGCTTTGTTACAGAGCACCTCATCCGTCTACGGAACTAACTACCTCGGGACATCATGATGGCCACCAATTTGGACCGATTTAAAAGAGGATCAGGCAAATTCATGGGGGGAGGGAGACACACAGATACTGGCTACTAGCGTGCTTGGCTCTGTGCTCCCTCCGATATCCAGTGAAGCGTGCCGATGTCTATCAGTTGCCGGGGATCATGGGTGTGGGGGCGGTTGCACCCATGTCTTGCTTGAAGGTTTTCGGTTGAAAGCCACTTGGCCACCGTGGGAGCAGAAGCTGGACTCGGTGGACCTTGGTCTGATCCAAAATCTACTTCTGCATCTGGGCCTCGGCATCTAACTTGGGGTTTGTTCAGGAAGCCATGCTTTTCAGAATGCGAAGCAAGACCCGGTTTGCATCAATGGGTTTTCCAGTCCATCTCCACACCTGTGTTGGCATGCAGATTTTGCTCTTCTCGCTAATGGGCTTCATGTATTTTCATGTTTTTGATTTCAGCATCTCAGTCCCATCTTCTGTGGTGTTAATTGAGCTTCCGATCGTTATCACTGTTTGTTTTTTTCTAATTACTCTGTGTCAATATATCGCCAGTGTTTTTGTTGCCGCAGTTTATCTTGGTGTGCAATTACTTTCTGGGAGGGTGGAGTGCCTTTTTGGTGCTTCCGGTTTTCTCATCCAGAAGTCTGTTTGACAATAGTACTCTTTTGCCTGAGATGGCACAGCCATCCCAAATTCCTGTGAAGCGTTGCCTCTGTACCTTAAAGGGGACGGCCAAAAATGCAACAGATCATCAAGTTTCTGATCTGCATGTTAGTTTAGGGATCACAGATCGTAACCCATTTGTATTGGAATTAATCAAGACCTTGGTTTCTGCAGTCAAGACCACGAATTCTGATTACAGTGTGATTACAGTGTTTTGGTTGCAAGTATCCCCCAAGCCTTGATTCTGCCCCGAGGAGGAGTTTGCTATGAGTAGAACACCTGTTGCTCTCACAGCTACTGTTGCTGCTTGAGACATTCATCATTTAGCTATGAATCGAAAGTGAAGCTTTTTCAGGCAGCGGCGATCTCTGGCTTCCTCATTCCTCCCTTCCTTGCAAGCATACCTGTGCCCTGAAGATAGTTCTGAGGTCATGCCTTAAGCGCACAGGATTAGCCATGCTGGGTCAAACCCCATGCCAGAGGTAGCATGTAGCTACCACAAAGAAGAGCCATTGATCCTCCATGAATTTATCCAACTGGCTTTTCCAGCTGTTCCAAGTTGGTGGCCATCACTGCATTCTGAGTATCATGGATCATCTATGGTAGCCTTTCATAACCTGGTTCTCCAGGTGTGCCTGTTTTTAAAGTTGTTGTTGTTGTTGTTATCATATTAATATCCCATTTCTTCACCTCTTGCAAGAAACCCAAGGTGGTTTACATGGTGGTCCTCCTCCTCCTCCGCTTCATTTCATCCTCACAACCTTTTGAGGGAGGCTAGGCTGAGAGGGGTGACTGGCCCAAAGTTTCCCAGTGAGTTTCATGGCTGAGTGGGGACTAGAAGCTGGATCTCCCCAGCCCGTAGCCAACATGTGGATCATCATTCTGCGCAGACTCCCAGCCAAGGTTCAAGGTCTAAGTCGGAAGGCATGTCCTCTCCCCTTTCCCTCAAATTAATAATTAGCATTTGTGTGGCCCACATGGGGCACTTTAATGTTCAGAGTGCTCTCTCAGTAATCCGTCTGATAATTTAATTAATCTGGTAGAGATAAAACAATAACCGAATTCCAGATCCCCCTTGGACATGTAAAGAAGGAAATGTGAGACCAGTTCATGTTATCTCAATTGCCAGGAAGCTGGCAACTCTGTTTGGATAATCAGATGCCTGGATATATCAGGGCATTGTTTATATAGGTGCCTGATGCTCCACTGGGGATCTGCAATGAAACTGGATAATGGGGGTGGGGGGGAGAGAGAGAACAAACTGATGTTTGGATAGGGCACTTTTGCTGTATGACGGATTGTGTTTTTAATCACCTAAGCCAGGGCCGAGACCAACATGTCTGCTTGTGGGACTTAGCTGAAGGAAGGAACTCTGTAACGGACTCGCTTTGCACCGGGAACGTCGGCTTCTGCAAGGGATCACTCTTGGAGGTGGCCGAGGGACGGTGGCTGCTGGCCACCGCATGGAAGAACCTGGAAGAGGTAGGTGATTTGATCTGTGTTAGAGATGCTTGAAAAGATCCCTGCTCCTCAGCAATTTTGGGCTTTTCAGGTGACTTTTGCACTGTCGATTGGCTCACCCAGAATTAGCACAAAGATATTCATCCACATTTGTGTAAATTTGCACGTGGAGATTTGCGCTCCGGAAAGTGCATGAATTGGCACTGACATGCGAAAAGACACACGTGTTCCCCATGACACCCATGTTTGTGCTTGCATCTATAGTTTGTGCATTTTTGATCAGTGGTTTTTTATTTTGTCTGCTTTTCTGCCTCTTACATTTGTGGAAAGATACACAAAATAACAGAAATTAGTCCGCCAGCCCCATGGACTTTGTGGAACCTGAGAAAGTTGGTCTGCTGCAGAATTGGAGACATCCACAAATCATGTGAGTCCCTTGTGGATTTCTCTGATGTTCCTAATTGCCAGCAGGAAACTGCAGGATGTGGTGTCTTCTGGTTTATCCCTCTCTAGCCCGGTACTGTCCAGGTGGGTTGGGTTACAACTCCCATCCTGCCAAGCCAGAGGATTGGTTTTGCGGTTCACAGACATGGACTCCATGTCACAGACATGGAGGTAAACATGTTGTGAGCCTTCCAGAGAGACTTATGGCTAATGGGGCAGCATACACATCAAACAAATAAATAAATAAACACACACACACACCCTGAAGTCAGAGATTCCATGACATCCCTGCAAGCTTTCATTTATTTATTAATTAGCCTCAGACCGGTAACCCTGCCAGCCGCAGCGCTTTTGAGGTTTATGATTAACATGAAGACTTAATACATGTTTATGCTTGGCTGGTCCCCAAAAGAATAATTTTGTCTTGAAGCATTCAATCTGTGAATAATAAGATCTAAAAAGGCATTTATTTGTTCTCGATTGCATTTAAATCACCAATTATGAGCTACAAGCCCTTCTTCTGCCAATTTGCCAGAAACATTTTAAAACGCGTTCTGAATGCTCAGAGGGAGCTGGGCGTGTTTCCTCACGGCCACCTTTATCCACCCAGGAATGCTATTAACCCTGGGCAAAAGAGAGACTTTTTCTCCTAATAAGCAGAAAAGAAGAAAAAACCCACTCCCAGTCCACATGAACCATCTTCTGGTTTTAAGTTACAGTTGTCAAAGTACGTGCGGGGCTAAGAGTAAGAAGCAGAAAAGCTGCTATTGCTGTTGAAATGTTCCCTCTCCCTTGCGAATGGAAGGGCAGACCAGACCTGATGTGCAGAACATGCGCCTCAGATGTCTTTCTTGCCTTCCAGGGGTGGCCTAGAACAGTGATGGCGAACCTTTTAGAGACCGAGTGCGCAAACTGCAACCCAAAACCCACTTATTTTTAACACAACACTGCAATAAAACCTGAATATTGAGGTTTTAGTCTAGAAAAAAAACAACTGCATATGATGCTGCAGATTCAAATAGGCCAGGGGGACAGCACAACATTAAGAAGAATCTCAGTCTTTTAATGAGAACATCTCCTTGCTAAATCTTAGATATTAAATTTCAATTTTCCATAAGAAAACTCAAAGCTAAAATCTTGTGTTAATAAAAACAAATGTATTAAAACTCACAGCCAGTCCAAATAAATATATATCTATATCCTTGGCAGCGCACTGACCGGCCATGCGAAAACTCGGACGAGCCGCAGCTAATGAGTCGCGGCTTGTGGCATCATCGCCTGGTGCCACTACTCCTTTCCAAAAATGCGCACGGCCCCTGAGTGCGCTGTTACCCGATGCTCGGCTGCTGGGGCGATGCTGGGGCGACTTGGCTCGTGTGCCAACAGAGAGGGCTCTGTGTGCCCGCTGCGGCACGCGGGCCATAGGTTCGCCAGCACTGACCCAGAATGTGCTGGAGTACGGAGGGCAGAGTGAAAACTTACCGCAGGCCTTTTTCATGGTTTAAATTGCCTGTCAGAAGCTGCTGCTTGCTGGCTGGGCAATGTGCTGGACACATACCTCTGTTACATCTTCAGGAGTTCTTCTTTGGGTGTCGCCACCCACAGTGGCATGACAGGTGGCTGCCGAGGTGTCATCCCCCCCCCAATTGCTGTCACGCACCCCTCCCAGGGTGATCCACCTGGCATGTGCTGTATATACCAGCATATAAGGTGACTCACCTGTAAGATGAGGTCCATATTTGTGGGGACATTCTGTTGCTTGTCTTACACTGGTAGTATAAAACAACCTCCAATTTTTGCTTTGCTATTTTTGGTTTCAAGGGCCGTTTTATACACTGGTATTTTTCTGAAATATACTTCCTGGTCACTTGTTCCACACATTATTAAAGTATTTTTCTGTAGTTAAGATCTTCTTCTCCCAGCAGACATTTGTTGTTCTGAGTACTAACCCTTGCTGGCTTCGTAATAGTTTAATATTTGGCTGCTTTCATGAGTGGTATTATTGAATTGGTTGTTACTTTAGGATTGTTTGGGTGGTAAAGTTCCCCAAGAGCATTTGTCAGTAGCATGAAATTAAATGGGATAAAGTAGAAAGGAATGTGGAGGTACGTACACTGCCAGGCATACGTAACACGAGTCCCACTGACTTTGGGGAAGAGACGTAGCGCAGTGGTGAAACATAAGGTCTGTGTCTGAAGGGTCCCAGGTTTGATCCTGGTGTGTCCAGGTTGGACTGAGGATGCCTGGAAAACCGCTGTCAATCCGCAGAGGACAGCTGTATTCCCTGGACTGGATCTGTCAGAAGCTGCTTATAAAACCAGGCAGGGGAGGCCAGGGCTCATACTGGGAGGGGCTGTCTCCTCATATGTCTGTTATTTGTATCCTGCGCATCATCTGAAGCTTGCAATATGGTTCCCCCGCTTCCTTCCTCTTACCGGCAGCTGGCCAGGGAGGGACAGAGCACTCCTGCCAAAGAACTAAACGATCGCATGGAGGGACACTGGTAATGGGACTTCCCTTGCCCTGGCAAGGGGATGAGGGGATGCCAAGGCTTTCAGGTTTTACTCTTGTTTGTGGCAGATCAACTTATATGGAAAGTGAGGAGGTGGATTGGGGAACCTTCTTCACTCCACTGATTCAAAGGCTCATGCATCTTTGCATGATCATTTGCATTGCTTATGACAGTCTGGAGGTTAGTTTTCAGCTGGCCCGGTTTCTTTTGCTTAAAGCTCAATGTAGTTTGGAAACGAGGCATCGAGAAGTTGGCACCACTGAGGTCCGTGGGAAGTTATACACAGGATCGCAGTCACAGTGGGCAGCGTCTGATAGCTGGCTCATTTTAGCGAGGGGCCCAGCCGTGCCTTCTGCTCAATAAAAGACTGGGGATTTTACCTCTAAGTCTGTTTCCACTGGGTTAGTGAAGTTGTTGTCGTTACATTTATATCCCACCTTTTTCCTTCCTGCAAGGAATCCAAAGCAAGTTCCATAATCTTCCTCCTCCTAGCCATCTCACAACAACCACCCTGTGAGGTAGGTTAGGCTGGGAGTCCACAACTGGCCTTAAGTCACCCAGTGGGCTGAGACCAGACTGGCACCCAGATCCTTCAAGTCCTGGTCCAGTTCTGTTCCCACTGGACGAGAAGGAAGGCTTTGCTGCTCCCCTCTGTTTCAGTGGAGCTTCCTCAGCCAGACCTGGCCTGCGAAATTAGAGGCACGAGCATCGATCCTTCCCCCCCGCACCCCTCACCTCTGGCCAGGCGTGCAACATCCTTCTTGCAACTCTCCCAGGAAGACGCGCGTTCTGTGCCTGGCCTCCAGCCAATCAGTCTTGTTTGCTTAATGTCAGGTTTGGGTTTTGGAGCTGCCGTCCAAGCTGTCAGTCTGTACCTTGAAGCCAGAAGCTGATGCCAAACTGGGTATGCCCATGTGCCTGAAAATGTGGCAGGTAAGCCAACGGGAGCTTGCTAATTATGAAATGCTTTCCCCTCCTGTGATTACATGGTACACATGAATCAGTCTTCACTCTAAGGCTTTTTGTTTGCTTTGGGGGAATTGATTGATTGATTGTCAAAAGCAGGCAAGTAATTATGCTATTAAGAGCAGGAGGGAAATTTGAACATCCTGCATAGAACTGCCGGAACATTCCACCTTTCTGCCGACGGTGCAGCATCGTTTTAGCATCTCAAGCCAAGGGGCCAGTCCGGCTCTTCAGGGCTCCCCACAGGACTCTGCCTCCTTCCCCCAACCACCCATCGCTTCATGGTTTCCTGGCGTTTGTGCAGTTTTTCACCCCACTCTAAACGGGTGAGATTCCCCCCCTGAGGTGTCATTACTTTAACCTCTAATAGGGTGGTGTCTTTAGCCCCACGCCTCGTGCTTGGGCCCCTTCCACCACTGGAATTTGGCCCCTTGGCTGGAAAGATCTTGCGCATTCCTGGGATTCAGGCCATTTTGCTCCTCAAAAGAAAGCGTTAATGGAGCATCTTGCAACTTGGTCACTGAGGATTAAAGCCATTGAAGCTCATTTGAAATGTCTCTGTTCAGTCTGGCTTGGAGCAAAGACAGTATCCACCTTATGCATGTGAGCTGCTGTGATTTTCAGATTACTAAGCAGCTGAAGAAGATCCGTTTATGCTCAAAGTGTGTTCAGGGCTAGTTTTATATTTGTATTTCCACGTTGGCTTTAGAGCTGCATCAATCTTCTTGCTCTGGTAGTTGCGTGTTTCTGTAAAATATCTGTAATGTGTGTGTTTATTGGGTTGAGATTCTATATCCCAATTTGGTGGTGCTTCCATTTTTGCCAGTCAGTCTTGATCAGCAGTTTGATTCAAGGAGATACTTGTTTAATTGCTATTTTTATGAATCTGTGTGCGCACGACGACTTTTTCCCCCTCTTAGTTTTGTAGCACGTCAAAGAAGGAAGCAAAGGAAAATCTGCATTAGCTTGACTGGGATATGCATTGTTGGAATGTATATAAAGCGCTGGCTGCATTTCCAGTCTCTACATGCATTCATGCTTGAAATAAATAAAGAAATCCTCATTGCACAACGCAGCACCTTTCCTGATGGGAAAATGAAGGGAATGTGGGCAAATGCAGCCCCACCCGGTTGGCTGTGAACTGTGCGCCTTGCATGGGACCATTTGGTAGGCGTCAGATTTATAAAACATCCTCCTTTAAAGGAGAAGAAATTGCCCATCCCATTTCAAGCAGAAACTGCCCCCCTGGATGCCTTGGACACAGAGAAACTGCTGCTAAGTGCATTCATTCATTCGTTCGTTCGTTCGTTCGTTCGTTCATTCATTCAAAATGTTGGCCGACTTTAGGCGTAGAACTCTCCCAAGGTGGTATGCAAGAAATAAACCACAGAAAGGGTGGTATCCAAAGACTGCTGATGTGCCTACGGGATCCTGAGTCAGGACAGCCTAAAAGCAATATTTCTGGATTGGGATGACCTAGGGAGGGCTCTTCCCGAAAGTTCTGCTGACTTTCCCTGTTGCAGGAATGTGTGTTTTTCCTAATTCCCAGTTTTCTGAAGAATTGCTAGCTCCTTGCTATGCTGGTAGTAAGTCACACAGGTGCGACGGCAGCATTGAATGCTCACCAAAGCAGACATGATAAGCATCCATAACATAGTCAACAAAAAGCAAAAATGAAGAATAAAATTCCCTAATAAAACCGACAGCCCGGAAATTGTGGGAAAGCCACTGAAAGCAGGTGAGCCTTCCGAACTTTCCTGACAACCTGCAAAGAAAGGGCTCGATGAATCCCTGATGGAAATGGAATCTCCAGTCAGATTCTCTGCCCAAGAATGGTACCCAATTTGCCATAGCATCACAAGAACACAGGAATAACCCAAAGCAATCTGCTCAGGAACTCTCAACAGGTCAGCACCAACATGGTCCAATCAGAGCTTGGTGTGGGGTGACATGTAAACACCAGAACTCTTCAAATGGACAGAATCAGTGGCCTTCCCAAGTCAACAAATTGGGTGGGCTTTTAATCCCAGTTGGCCGGGGATCCATCGTGCCATGCTTCCCGAGAGACATCTGGTTCGCTATGGAAAATGGGATGCTAGGTTAGACAACCCTTTGGTCTCTTCCTCCATTCTGGGAGGCTTCCACTGGCCATGAAAGTTGGCCAGGTATGGAGTGCTAGGGAGAGTGCTTGACAACATAGGCGTTGCCACCGAAAAGTCCCCATCAGATGCTGGAGCGGATCAAACTTGCACAAAACAAGGAACGAGACAGGCCTGGAGGCACAATATGGGATGAACGTATCTCCTGGGACACCCTAGACTGGTTCAAGAATGGGAAAACTTTGGAGAATATGAAGCGAATATCTAGAACGATCCATCTGACATTACATTGTGGTTTCCTCTTGATCTTCTGTGTAGGGCTGAGTCATTGAATTCTCCTTGGAGGGACTTCATGTTCTTGTTTTAATCCTGCCCTTCCTCAAGGAACTCTCCATTTTATTTCCATAATAACTCTGTGGCGTAGGTTAGATTAAGATCATAAAGCCTGACTCAAGATCCTTTGTACTGAAGATGCTGATGATTCAGCATGGAACCCTTCTGTGTTTCGCAGCTGTTGAGGGTGTTTAGAGAAGAATGGGGACAGGGCGTTGCATTTATTGGCTCCCAAACCAAGCCTGCCTTCTCCAGAGCTCTAGAGGGAAATGTTTGGAACTCCTGGCTCCAACACATGTTTTCTCCAGTTCCGTGGCATCCCCAGTGTGCCCCACATCTGTTGGATTGTTCTTACGGTGTGGCCTTCCCCCAACATGGATTCTCCCAGACTTTCTAGACTTGAGCTCTCATGCGCCCCAGCCAGCATGGCCGATGATCAGGAATAAAGTGGCTTGTAAATCAAAACAACTGGGGGTACCAGGTTGAGGGAAGACAGCTCCTGTGAGCACTTTCCCAAGGCTGGAATATACCCAAGGGAGAAAACGTGGAGCCATTTGGGGAGAAGGGAGACTTTAACAGCAAAGGCTCCTGCTAGGCTATTTTCTTTTGCTTCCTTTTTTTTCCCAAGGAAAATTCTCGCCAGCAGGAAGACCACCCATTATAGCAAGGAGATGACTATTCCTAGAGCAAGCCACATAATAGCACAAATGTGATCTATTAGTCTGAAAAGGTAGTGCTGGTACTGAGCAGGGATCAATACGGGGTTATCCTGACCATGAAGCAAGAACCTGACTTTCAGTGTGTTTGCTTTGCTTTGCTTTGCTTAGATTGTATTTTAAAATTTAGCGAGAGGTTGGATTTAAAGGGGAGCAGAGAATAGGGCATTGTTCTGTTGAAATAAGCTGCTCACACGTTCAGTGGGAAGGAGTTGGTGTCCTTTTTCAGCCAGGTTTCCTCCTTTTAAAGCCATAACTGGCGTTAACAGGCGTTTGTTTTTTAATTTGCTTTCATTAGGACTTCTGTCTCTTCCCTCACAAGGCAAGTCTTCCGATTTACAGAGTCATTAGTCAACTGGTTCAAGGCAGTGATGAATATTTTCCTTAAGTGTGACATGTAATCTAGTAACGTTCCTTTCTTTGAGTTATTTCAGAGGCTTTAATAAATTGGGTGACTGCCCAGGGTGCCATGCCCTTTGACCTGTGACATCATTAATCAAAATATCTCACAATTGGTTACACTGGGACTCAAGACCAGTTAACTCTTTGGGTGCTAGCTACTTTGGAAAATTTTCAAAATGGTATTTGGAAAAATGACCTGCTTGTCTTGAGCATTTCATTCCCTTGGTGGCGGTGCACCCAAAATTTGCCGTGAAGATAATTTGAGAAAGGGGCTGGTTTGCATATGGAGCACAAGTGCCGTTAGAAATTTTTTTCTCCTGATGAAGTGTTGGAAAGATGTTTGACATCCCATTTTGAAAGGAGGACAGGAGGTATTTGGCTCCACTGGCAGCCAAATTCCAGCCAGACTGTTTTACAAAGGCCCAACCCAAGGTTAAACTGTAAATAATCACATTAAAATTCTAAAATTATCGGCAAGATGAGGCTTTAATGAAGTGTAGGAATAACAGTTCTGATGGTCTTTTCCCCTCCTTGAAAAGTCAGCCTAGGCACATCCAGAACATGATAGGCATGTTGGCTTTTCACCGTGGTTTGGTTCGCATGGCTGGCTAACACTCCCTACAAAGAAGCCACTCATGGTCCACCTGTCCGGTGACGAGACTTCTGTGTCTTGTTAGCCCCTTTGCTCTTCCCAGTTCTCAGCCCAACATCTGCTTGTTCTTTCTAGCAGAAGCTGTCTTGTCTTCCTGTCTCTGCTCAAACCACCACCCATTTTTATTCACTGCCGCTTTGATTCTGGTTTCTGGAGCCTCGGAGATGTACAGCTGGGAGTGCTGTTTCAGTGTTCAGGCCCAGAGAATTGCGCAGGTGCATTCATGCTCCTTTATCATTTTGTGTCCTTGGAAAGTGCCCAAGCGTGCTCTTGGAGCTGTCCGATACACGTAGTCATGTCTGCTCCATCTCCTTGTCTGTTTCAGCTTTCCAAGGGCACAGAAAGAAGCCGGAGGAGGCACATGGAGAGGAAATGTATGCACCTGCCTTGACTGTTTTGCAAATTATCACCCTGAAACATTGTGAAGGGCAGGACATAAACGCTTTAAATAAATAAAATGCCCCCTTCATTCGCTGCCTTGCCCTTAAATTGGTGTAACTTTCCTCTTGATTTACTTCTCAGCCTTTAAAATTGCATATATTTCCCAGTTTAAAAATTGTGCAAACCCTCCCAACAATTACCTGCGTGTCTTAAAAACCTTTACATTTTACAGAACGAGATGGAGCAAATACACCACCAGCACCAGTGGTACTTCTCTTTGCCCACCTGTGGCATCCCATGCACGCGACATCCTATTTCACTACCTTCTCATGATTCTGTTTCTAGAACTGTCACGGAATCGGAGTGAGCACTCTGAAAACTGGCTGCAAAAAGGGGTCGCAGAATATCTCCCCATTCTGGACTAGCTGGCTGCTTAAAATGTTCACAATCAATGCTTAAAATCAAGAGGACTGCTAAATTTATTTAGTTATTTATTTAGAGCATTTGTATGCCGTCCCATCGCGTAGCCTCGGGATGGCTTACATAAAATAAAATAAAACATAATACAAATAAAATCCAGATCTACCCTGGCTGCAGATTAAAACCTATCAGCTGATGTTCAAAGTTATTAAAATATTGTTGAAATAAAAAGGTAAAAGATTTAAAAATAAATCGAAGATGTGGCCCTCCTTCTTTGGCAGCTTTCCTCCAATATTGTGTGTGTGTGTGTGTGTGTGTGTGTGTGTGTGTAGAGAAGTTTTTCAGCTGAGAACTCAACTCTGGCACCTAGGCACCAGTTGCACTATAGTTGCACTATAGTTGTCATTTTCTTTCTGTGTTGCTTACTCCGCCTTGGGCTGCTTCCTGGAAACATACAAGAAAGTTATCCAAGCAAGACTTTGCATATTGGACAGCACAACTGTAAAAGATTCTCCCCCTCCCCCACACAAAAAAATTGCAGGCATATTTGTACAATTTTGTGGTTGAAGGGAGGGGGCTACAGGGATAGCTGCTCCAAATGCCGCTTGGGCAGAAAAGGTGCCGTCGGCGAGTCCAAGGGCAAAAGGTGGGCAGCGGACAGAGTTCTTGTCCTGGGTTCAGACCACGCAACAAGCCATCACGGCTCAGACAGTCCCTGGAAGAATCCATGGGTTGTCAAGGTGCCCGTTGCCCGAAAATAAGCCATTCTGCCCGAAGCACTCTGGACTGGGACAGCTGGGCAACCCACAGGGCTGATTGCCCATAGCGGGTCGTCGTGTCATGCAAACCGGGTGAGTGAGAGTATCTGAGACACATTTTTGTAGCAGGTTCTTCTGTACTTTTGTGGGTCTTGTGCCTCTATTGGCGTAGTTGTTCAGGTGGGTGAATGTGGAAGGGTCATCCCCTTTCATCTACACCTGCCTGGATCCTAAGATGATCTCCAGGTGCCCTCACTGAATCATGTGAGGAGGGTGCTTTCCAAGGCTAAGACCTCCTCCGTGGTGGCCCCCTGGTTGTAGACCACCCTCCCCAGAGAGGCTTCCTTGGTGCTTCCTTGTGGTCTTCTGGGCACTACAGGAGGACTTCATTTCCCCAAACTTTTAAAACAAGGAGTTATGATGTTTCGCTGCAGCTGGCATCTTGGTCTTGTTCTGTTCTCGTCCTACCATGTTTATATATGACTTTTAGGCTGTGTTGCGATATTTTATGGGTTGAAGTTCTGCGAACTGCCCAGAGAACGTCTCATGATGGGTGGCATGGGCAATACAGCTCATGACCACGGCTCCCTTGTCCTGATTTTGTGCGTTTTGCTGTGTTTTCCATCAGCCCAGCAGCGGTTCCTCGCCTCTCCTCCTGGTGGGCTACGAGGATGGTTCAGTGGTCCTATGGAATTTGTCGACGGGGAGCACTCTGAGTCGGCTCGCATGTCATCAGGAGCCCATCATGGGCCTTGACTTTGACGCAGAGAAGGCCAAGGGGGTCTCGGGCTCGTCTGAGAAGATACTTTGTGTCTGGAGCCTCGACGAGCAGCAGAACCTCGAGGTCAGTGGAGTTGCCCTCGTTGTGCCGTTGTGTCTGTTTCGCACTAGCAGTTCGATGGACTGGAAAAATATTTACCCATGAAGGCGAGTTGTTGCGGATCCCTCACTAATTAATCACAGACTGGTTAGGCTCCGAGACAGGGCAGGCAATTCAGTCCCCTCCAGAATGTGTCCGACCGCAGCCTCCATGAACCCTGACTTCTGGGCCTGCTGGCTGGGGCGATGGGAGTTGTAGTCCCAAGCCTCTAGCAGGCACTATGTTGCCTGCGTTTGCTGTAAACAAGGCAGACTGCAAAGGGCTCCTCATCTTTCGTCAGTTCTTGCTTCTTTGTATTTTTAAGCTTTGGTTTTTCTGGAGAATCCACAGAAGGCTAACGTGGGAGTGAGCCAAGTCTTGCAGCCCCGGGTGAGATGAACAGGGCAAACATACCCCACAACCCAGCTTTTTCCAGGTTTCAGAAGAATGAAATGGCACTTTTTCCTAATGGCAAAAAATGGGCAATTGTTCAGTCCTTTATTCCACGGAGCTGCCATTGGGGGCATCCCGGCATCTCTGGGAAGAGCCTGGTGAAATTTCGGTCTTCAGTGATCTGCAGTTAAGACATGGCTGGGCTTCTTGGGACATCCCTGTCTGTATTTGGAAAGGGAGTTCATTAATACGAATGAACGGTGTACGCTGTTGCAGTCTTCCTAAGCAGCAGCTGCTTCATTAAGACATCTCTCGAGAAACTAGGGTCGCCTAATGACAGCAAAGGATCATGGCTGGAGCGTAACCTGTCCTTTCGACAAACACCATGCCACTGCCGAGAGGTTAAGCAGAACTTAATTAGGGGCACGACTCCGCAGCCCCTTCGTGCTGCGGGGCCAAACAGGACTGGAAGTGCAGGCGCTCGGAAGGAGAATTTCCGAAAAGATGTGGTGTGTTTTGCACGGTATGGAGCCCCTGCTTAGGAGTAGTTGGATTTGCCATACACTGTCCGATCCTAAGCCCAATGATGGAGTGACCAGTCATCCAAGCACATGAATGGCAAGCCGGACACAGGTGCAAGGACAAAAGCACCAAGCGCCCGTACGTGATATTCTGACCTGGAGGGATCCTCAACCCTGAGCCACCACCCCCACACACCTCTCCTCCGCTTTGCTCTTGGCTGTCCAGTGAGAGCATCAGAACCACACGTGGCGGTCTCCCCACTCCCCCCTCCCTCCCCCCCGTGCTCGCTCTCCTATTGGATTAATAACACAAACCAGATGGGGCTTTTCCGGGGCATTCCACGTTCCTGAGGTAATGCCGGTGCTTGAGAAGCCACTCAGTGGCACGTTATTTTTACTGCACGGGGGCTCGGTGGCCCTCGCTTGCTCAGCTTTCTTTCGAAAGAGGCGATGCGGCAGCAGCAGCAGGGCAGTGCCGGTTGCGACGCGATCCGGTGTGATGGCGAAGCTGTGGCAGCTCGCCGCTGTCCGGGCCTTCAGGAGCGCCGGAGTTCTTCCCCGCTCTCGGAGCTGTTTGTGTGAGGAAGCAGGGGAGCCATTATTTCATTGCCCAAGACCCACGGTCCTCTGGGCAACACACAGGGCATTACAAACACACACCGTCCAAGCAGTAGCATATGCCAGCGTAAGGCACACCCGAGGCAGAACCAGCAGTAGAACACCGCACAACGTTTGCGGTTCTTAGCCCGGTGCAAAAGAGGCCCCATACGGTAGGCGCCAGCCCAGCCTCTCCGGCGAGGGCATGCCACACCTTGAGTGCCACCACCAAAAAGGCCCTGTCTCTCGCCGCCACCAGCGTTGCCTCATTGGACCGGAGGCACAAAGAAGAGGGTCTCGCACAATGATACCAAGGTCTGGCTAGATAAAAGACCACGTCAGTGAGGGGTAGTTGAGATATTTAATTACGGGTAGGTATCTCGGAGGTTTGCTCACATGGCTGAAGGAAAAAAGATGGGGTCCATAGTTCACAGTCAGTCCGGAGGGGAGGGGAGTGCGTGTGACCTCCCATCACCTTGAAACGCAGCATTCCCGAGCAATGCAAAGGCCGCCCGTTTCTGTGGGATCTTCTTTCCAGGTCTGCATATAGTGCATCAATTTTGAATCGGCAGCACTATCCCACGGTCCGTAAGACCACTCAGGACCCCCTGCCACCTGTTCCTTGCCCTCCCTTCCCCTATAAAATTAGCAAGCGGGGCCCGCATTTTCCTGTCCAGTGCTCCAGCCAGACACTTCCTTTTCTAGGGCACTCCATTCCATCGCCCCCGCTTGGTTTTCCTGCTCACGCTCCCAGTCAGGTTTCCACATTTCCCCTCCAGTCCTCACGGGGCTGCTTTGCTTCCCACCACATGCCCTTTGGATGCTTTTCCTCTTAAGAAGTTTTGGCACTTTTTGCAAAGGTTTCGATGGAGCATCCCTGTAGGATCGTCGGTAATCCGAACTTAGGACTGAAGCCATACTTGTGCATTTATTAAACGTCCCGAAGCTTTGCCTGCCCTGCCCCTGAGGCTCAGGGCAAGTAACTCTTAGAAGCAAGCACTTTTTAAAAAGCCACCACACATGTTAAGACTTAATAGTTCATTCCCCTCCAAGGCCATCGTAGTGTTCATTTTTTGTAACGCTTCGGCCTGTCAGACTGGACGTGACTCTTGCAGTCTGCTGACAAGGATGGCTTTTCCATCTGTGCGCGAAGCGGAGCGAAGGCGTTGGCATGCGCTTCCCGGCTTGTTTGCTTGTTTCCTTTATAGCCAGCCTTCCTGCCACACTAAGAACATCTTAATTCACCTGAAGAAAAGACATGGAGGAAAAGCAGCAATAAAAGAAATAGCTTCAACCGGTGAAGACCCCTGCCCTGTCCCCTTGAGCCACAGAGCTGCTTGCATGCCAAAGGCCTGCAGAAATTCAAAGGTCTTTGCCTGCCAGCAGCTCCCAGGTCCTGGTGCGAAGGTGCATGAGCGAGTCACCATCCTGAAGCTAAGCAGGCCTAGGTCTGGCCAGTGCTTGGAGGGGAGTCCACTGTGGCAAGGCGGGGTGTGTTGGGACGGCTCAGTCTTCAATGGACAATCGAGGCCCATCTGCTTTACAAGCAACAACATAGTACACCTGCTCTCGGTGGAGACAAAAAGTGCTAGAATTGTTTCATTGTTGTTGTTGTTTCCACACTTCCCAATAGTTGAACCTCTTTAGGTGGTATAGAATGGTTTGTATAGCAGTACAATAAAATGCCATTAAAATTTCCAAAATAGTTGGTAAACATAACTTAAAGACCGCTAACATGAGATGGGATGGAGAGTTAGATGTGAGCAATACCTCGGCTGGGTAATCTTCTCAAACCCTTGAATACCATTGGCATGGGGGGCATCTTAACCTGACACCAAAAGGGTGATAAGGTTAGGTCCAGGTTGACCTCATGGGGTGGGGGCATGCCATAGTTGGGAGCCGCCATTGGAAGGGCCCTTCCCCCTTGTCGACATGGATCAGTACAGCTGTATGACTTTCCAGATGTGGCTGTCAGGAGCACCCACACTCCAAAATGTGCAGTCACACTGCTGGCTTTTCCCTTGCGCCTCACCCCATCTATCCATGTGCTATCTGTCTCTTCCTCAGCTTCAGCAAACACACCAACTCACCAATCCTGGAATTGCTGAGACGGCCCTCCGGCCCGACAAGAAGATCTTGGCAACAGCTGGCTGGGACCATCGTATCCGCCTCTTTGGCTGGAAAAAACTCAAGCCCTTGGCCGTCCTGGACTACCACACGGCCGCCATCCACTGTGTTGCCTTCTCAGACCATGCCCAGCCTAGTGAGAGACTGTTGGCAGCGGGCTCAAAAGACCACCGCATCAGTCTCTGGTCAATATATAGCCAGGCGTGAAAAGGAGTTGGAAAGGCAAGCGGCCTGAGACACACCAAAGTTTGCAGTTTAGGACTGAAAGACAAGGCCAAGGTGAGGGGAAAGCAGCCACATGGAGACAACTGCTCTGGCGCTTGGAAAAATCTTGAGCTGAAAAGGGAGTATTAGTTCCAAGACAAGCAGCAGAGTCGCTGGAGTTCAGTTCCAGTCAATTTTAGTTTCTCTGAGCTTTTCATCGTTCCAGACTTTAAGTCCAGCTGCTCTTGAAATCTGCAAGTTTTCCTTTACCAGTTTTAAGTTCAGTTCAAGCCAAACTCTGAGATTTGTTCGAAGCTTATATGAAACTTTACAAGCATTCTTGTCTGCGATGCTTTTAAGACATATGGAGAAGGGGAGAACTTGCAGGCGACCTTGGGTTCCTCGCATTTGGATGCTGTGGGTGCTTTTTTCCTCCCCTTAAATTGCCGCCAATGCTAATACATTTTCCAGTGCTATTTCCCCCAATAAGTGCATTTTCCCCTGCATTCTTTGATTGAGGAGCTCCACTGCAAAATTCAGAGAAGTGTGAACCTCAGAGGAGAACAGTTTGGAGTCATGTAGCAGTCCAAACGTGCAAAATGAAGCAAGTTTGGATTGAAATGCAAATAGAATGATTTTCACTCCCGTCCGTTGTACTGCTTTGCTAGGTGCTGGGATCCACTGGGCCCTGAAAACGTAACAGGAATGGAATCTGGCCTTCAGGCTGAACGTGTTTGCATAGCACATGTTCCACAGGAAGGTGGGGAGACCCCTGGCTTGCCAGCTGGTGTTGGACTCCCAACCCCCACTCTTTGGGCTGGGGCTGATGGGAGTGGGAGGCCAACAACCAGTGGAGGCTTCTTAGCTCTGCTCTAGGGAGAACAGCTTAGAGACTGGCGCTTGCAATGCGGGCAGAAAGCCCCAGCGACCCCTGCCTTCACTCATTTGTGGAGATCTGGGAGCAGGCGAGGAGGAAGATGCCGCGGCAGGTCAAGGAACCCAGAACCAGGCCGAATGAGCAAGCGGGCCGACCCACGGTGGAGCTGAGCCCAAGGAGAGGTGAGCACTGAGCTCCCGGGCGAGCAATCCAGTGTGGGTGCCGTTTGCCGGAGAGCTGCTCAGCCCTCGGAGCCACACCAAAAGCTCGCCCTTGGGTTGCCCCGGCCAAGGGAACAGCATTGGCTGTACCTGAAGCGAAGGACTCGGGAAAGGCGGCGATGACAGCTAAATTATGGCGTCGTGGCTCCCCTGCCAGCCAGGGGATGGCTGCAGTCCTGCGACAAGGGGAAAGGGGCGAGAACATTCCTCAATTAATCGATATAAATCTCGAGCGCTCGCCTTTGTCCACCAATTACACGGGATATTTATCACAGCCGAAGGGGATGCTGATCTCCGACCCCCAGGCGTTTCCTGCATATGAATCAATTAGTTCCAAAGCCCCGTGTGCTGGCAAGGGGCCCCCGCCTGGGCAGTGGCAGGACTGGGAACTGGACGAGCCTCGGAGACGCGTAAGCCCCGTGAAGCGAGGGGGTCCCAGAGAGTTGCCCCAGCGCCAGTTTGGAGGGGCCCTCAGGCAGGACACCCCCTGCGACATCCCAGGGACCCTCCCTCCTCACCACCCAGCTGTTCTTGCTCCTCAACCGCTCGGTCTTCATGGCTGCCCCTTGCTCGCTCGCTCTGCCGACAGAGACTGGGTCCTTGGAGCGCATCACTTCAGGGCAGGCCAAGCAGCCGCCTGCACGTGTGCGGGGAGCCCCTGGGGTCGGCCTGGACTGCGAGGCTGAAGCCCCTGGGATCAACCTCCAGGCACCTGCCCAGAGCCCAAACCCCACGGGCATGAGCCCCCCGGAATCGCCCCTCAGGCTGGCTCAGGCCGCCACAGTGGTGGGGAGGGTGTCCCTCCTCTTCCCTGCTGCACCTACTGGGCAACCGGGAGGCCTCCATGCTGAGAAAGGGGGTGAGGAGCAGGAGACAGTGGTGGAGAATGGGGGGGGCTTCTTGGGGGGTCTTGGAGCTGCCACTGCCCCAGCGGGGGCCAGCGAAGCAACTGCCCTTTTATTCCTGCCATCCCGCTGGTCCTGTGACTTCGGCGTGTTTGAAGGGCAAATCTGAACAAGGCCGTGCCTCATTTTCCGTCTCAGCGCAGGTGAGCCGCTCTGCAACGTTCTAGCAGAAGCAGGAAGTGAGGGTTACCCAAGGCCCTGAAGAGGCAGCCCCAAAGACCCGCAAGTCCGGGGCCTGCAATCGCGGACACCCACGCAGCTCTTGCTGCTGGGCCCCTGATTGAGGGTGGACCCTCGGTGTGCCCAGCCAGGCCCGCTTTCGTGCTCGCCCTGCCAGAAAACATCTCGAGGGAAGAGCCATCTCAAAGCCTCCGTCTGAAATTTCGGATGCTGTCCGGCAGCATTGTGAGGACTCCTCGGGGGCTGTAACAGGCACATGTTACCTTTTGTACAACAATGCCCCCAATCCATAACTGGCTGGGCAGATGGGAGTTGTCGCCCTGAGGGAGGCTCAGCTCCCCCAGGCATTTGGGGGCATGTCTGGGAGAGGTCACAGAAGACATTGGGCCCCTGAGATCCAAAGCTGCTGCTTTTCCTGAACGTGCCCCTGGACTGGGAGGGGGAACGATGCCTATTCTAGAACTGGCGTTCTAAATTCCACTCCCACCCCATTATACAATGCAAACTTTATAGCCAATCTTTTAAACTTATAGCTTCAATTACATTCATTACATATTATGCATGGTTCTTTTTATTATAATTTGCAGTGAAAAACCTCACACAGTTTCCAGCGAAAAATCCAAACCCGCTGTCCCCTAATGAGCAATTGCAGTGTGTGGTTAACCTGAGAACATTTCCAGCCATTACATCCAACACAGACACAAAAAACCTGTTTGGACACTTCCAGACGTGTCTGTGCTTTGAGATTTGTCTGAAACGCTGGCACTCTGAATCTGTTTCCACTTAAATGTGTGTAGGGATTTTTTGTTCAAATGCAATCTGCTTTTACACTAGCGATCCAATTAAAGAATTCCTGCATTCCAGTCTGCTGCTGGCAGTTGAGCTTTCTCTGTTTACATGAATACAGTTGTAGAAATGGGGTTTTGCTCCAGATATTAGAAGCCAAACAAGCAGCGTTATTTACCTCTGTTCAGCCAGGTTTTCATGACGGATTGTGGCCCCTCTTGCCGAATCAGAGCACTGACGCATCCTGCTGGTACCGTCTTCTCTAACCAGTGACTGCAGTCTCGAAGGTTTTTCCAAGTCCTCATGAGACCCACTGGGCTGGACGTGCCAAAGGCTTGAACCCCGGACTTTTTGCTTGCTACACACTTGTTCTCCTGCCCCGTCTCATTGCCTGGAGGTATTCGCTACATGGCAACCACGAACACCAACTCATAGCATTAGCCTTGCTGCTAACTTCTAATATAGCTTTGGCCCTTGAGATGCTGCTGGAATTAGATTACTGGATTCCAGATGTCATACTCCAGATGCTCCAGCCAGATGTGCAGCCAGAGACAGACCTTGGGGTGCAGATCTGGGGTCCGGTGTTCCAAGGGCCTGCACTGTGTCCCCCAGCAACTGCCGCCTGACGCAGTCACTTCATCTGGCCTCTCAGAGGGCTGGCCGTGTCCCCACTACGACCGCCTCTCATTTGAAGTGAAGCAGCCCATTTCAGCAGCTCAGGAGTGTGTCGTTTCACTTGGCCGGCAAAGGAATCACGTTCCCTCACGCTTGGTATTCTTCCATCCACTTTCTCCGCACCGTGTATCATTTTAAGCACCTCCATCATCTCTCCCCTTGCCCTTTTCCTCAGCTAAAGAACATGGCAACTGTTCCTCTTCGGAGACTTAATTCTGCCCGTGGATCATTTTGCTGCACCTTTCTGAGTTCTGCCGTACGCTTTTTGAGATGCGATAACCAGAACTGTTCTCTGCATGCTCACAGCATTCTAGAAAGGCACTATTATAGTGGCCGTTTTGTTCTCAGTTCCTTTCCTAGTGATACTGCTGAATTTCCCCTCTAAACTGCCTCGTGGTCACATGGGGGTGTCATTTTCATTAACAGCCCCAAGATTCAGTCTTCCATGATTCTGCACCCCACGTCTGCTTGAATCTCTACTCCAAGCTCTAAATGTCCATCAGATTAATGCAAGGGATCTTTCCCCAGCTTAATTGCCACGTAAGACAAGGCCTGCCTCGAAGTTTGGTTCCCACATCTTCCAAGGGCCTAGCAACTCCTCTCTCAGGATACTTTTCCTGGCAAGTTGCTGCCTGCTCATCACCCCAGAAGTTTTTATTTTGCCCCACCATGTCCGTGTGAGATGCTGGTGAGCAGATATATGTGAGTCCAGATTGGAGGCTCAGTCGGCCTCCTGGCTTTGGCAGGTCCTGTTATTCCTATGAAAGTCAAGAAACATTTCTGTCCTTATGGGTTGCTCGGAGTATCTGATACCTAATAGATCAGCTTTTTCCCACAAAGCGAAGCCCTACAGCACAGCTGGGATAAAGGAGTACACAGTCGTGCCAGCCAGAACATGGCCGGATATATTTCATGCCATTAATCACGCGGGCAAAACTCTTCACAGCGTTGGAATTAGGTTGCTACAATCCCTGCTGTGGGCTTTCTGTACATTAAAGTGCCAAAGCTTCCTTGATGAATAGCACCGGGAGGGGATAAACCCCCAAACCGTTAAAAGCCGAAAAGGCAACCCCACGCAAAAATGCACATTTGAAGTGCGGGGCTCATTTCTCAGGGGTTGGTTTACAGAGACTACCATAAAGGGTAAAATATCTCAGGCTAAGAACATCTACGGGGTATCAACAGGCCAGTTCACACATTAAGATCAGACGGTGTCGGTGGATTCCGGCAAACAGCCTAAGTTGGAAGAGGGCATGCATCTGATGCATAGAGACATGGACTGCAAACATACGGAATATCCATGCCGGGCAAGCGCTGTGGGATGAACTCTACGGCCCACCCTGCATACAAGCAGACACGTCCCGGAAGCTCACAAGTGCAGCAGGAAGGAAATTTCCCTCTCCTGCCCCATGGCCTGGTATTCACATGCATCCTGAACGCAGAGATTCCTCATTATTCAGACAGCCAGGGCTGAATCCGTCCATGCACAGCAACTTTGAATCTGGAAGAGCCACAGTTTGCCATGTCATGAATGTGTGGGAACCTTACAGAAAGGTGCTGAAGTAGATGGATCATTGGCCTGATTCAGCAGACCTGCGAGAAGCAAGACTTGCTGGAGAAGACAATCTTGCCAGGGAAGTCAAAGGCAGCAGAAGAAGCGGAAGACCAAGAGATGGATTGATTCCCGAAAGGAACCTGCAGCCTTGAGCTCCAGAGCGGAGCAAGGCCGTCTGCAGAGCTCTCGCTCATACGGTCACCACAAGTCCGGGAAGGCTCGGCGGCTTGTCACAATAGGCCTCACGTGGCTGGAACTGAAAGCAAAGCGCAACAGATGAAACACCTGCTATGGAAAGCCATGCAAA